GCAGAGAAAGCAGCGTTGCCTTTAGCCTTCTTTCTCAGCCCCTCCTCTGTTTCTTCTTGTCCCTCACTCTGAGTCACTGAACTGAAACAAACAAACAGTTTTTTTTTTCTTCACCAAAAATATCTTAGCCATTCACTTCAAAAATGGGACACGTGGCGCTCCACCATTACCACTCTAGAGGATCACTCTACCATTACCACTCTAGAGGATCCGAACGCGCGTTTGGATCCTTTAGAGTGGTAATGGTAGAGTGATCCTCTAGAGTGGTAATGGTGGAGCGCCACGTGTCCCGTTTTTGCAGTGAATGGTTGAGATTAGTCTTTATCAAAACAACGTCGTTTTGGTAAAGGAAAAAAAAACTTTGTTTGTTTCAGCTTAGAGAGAGACAGAGAGAGAGAAGAGGCTGAGGAAGAAGCGCCCTCCTGGCCGATGCTGGCAGAGCCATCTCTGGCTAGCTGAGTTCCTCCTCTTCAATTGAAACTCAAACTTAATTTATCCAACTCAAACTCAATTATTCAAACCCAGTTTATGCAGGTCAAACTCAATTCCTCCTCTTCGATCTTCAATTTATCGATCCCCATCCAACCATAACTTCCAAATCAAGAAAAACTTATTAATATAAAAATTAAAAAATCCAAATCCAAACACAACAATAATTTTCAACCTTCCCTGCAAACCCACAGGAAAATAATCCCAAAGAAAAAAAGAGCTAACCAGACCCAAAAAACACAAAGTGCACAAAAATCCTTAATTCTCAAATTCCCATTTCAAAGAAAATAAATTAATTTTTCTAGTGGTGCTACCAAAATCTATCAATTTCCCAAGATCTGCCGAATGTGTTGTTTGTGAGCGACACCAGACTTGATCTCGACGACATAGGGGGGATCGATTAGAATAGAGAACGTAATTGTCCGCAACAAGGTTGATCGCCTCCGTGAAGTTTCCGGCGGAGAAGGCAGCTTTAGCCTTCTTCCTCAGCCCCTCTTCTGTTTCTTCTTGTCCCTCTCTCTGAGTCATTGAACTGAAACAAACAAGCAGTTTTTTTTTTCTTCACCAAAACGATCTCAGCCATTCACTTCAAAAATAGGACACGTGGCGCTCCACCATTACCACTCTAGAGGATCACTCTACCATTACCACTCTAGAGGATCCGAACGCGATTTGTGATGCATATTTGTGTACTTGTAAGATAATTAATTATTTGAAGATATACCTATTAGATTTCCATAGTAGACAAAAGAATGGCATTGTGATGTTATTGTGATGTTTTTCGGCAAGTATAGGAGGTGTTGATGGATATATAGAAATGGAGTAGATAGAGATACAGTAGAGAGAGAAAAAAAAATGGCATTTTTTGTAAATTTGAAGTTGTGCAAAGGGCATTTTCGTCTTCAAAATGAACCTACTCTTTATATAGGCGAGTAGTTTTCACATTCCGTCATGTTAGACAGAAAAGTTAACAGTGCACTTTAGTCCATCAACCACATGAGGGTTATGTGGTGATATCTGAATGTCAAGGGGGTAAATCGCACCCGACCCAAACCATAAGGGGGTAAAGTGAAGTTTGCCCATTTTTAAATTTGTACTCCATGAAATAAAGAGATAAATTAAATGTTGTGGTAAATAGCAACCTTCAAATTTATGAGGTCAATTATCAATACATGTGAGTGGGGTTGGGTATAGGTTATTCGATCTGCGCAAACCGCCTAACCTGAACCATCCAACCCGAACCACCTGCACCTATTTGGACAGTTTCGCATAATCGTTATGATCAGATGCGAGTTAGAATTTTCCTATTTTGCGGGTTGCAGGAGGGTTGCAGTTTTTGCCCGCACTCACCCGTCCGCATTTATATACATTTAAAAAAAAAAATTGGACCGTTAAATTTTCTTGTAAATTTTGTAAGTGTGTAACCCTAATCTTTCATTCTCTCACTCACTTGCAAGTAAACAAATGTTTTGCAATTTGTTTTGCATTACTAGTGTGAAAACCCAACAAATATGGGTAACTTATAATAAAATGAGTTACTTATTTATGGTTATGCTTCTTGTTTTTCACTAGTTAGTGAGTTTAGCAAATCCTAAAATTAATTTTTCAGAAGAGATGCTTGTCTATTTTTATTAAAACAACTATGAGTTTTGTTTAGTTTATACATTTTTTGCAAAGTGAATGTAAGTCAATTGACTGATCTTGACATGTGCTTATGGTCTGTTTTCTTCTGAAAATAAATTGGATAGATAGACTGTAATTTTACTTGGGATAAATCATTTGGAAAATAAGCTTGGTTAGAGTTTTCCAAAAACACTCTTCAGAAAATTCTACTTTCTTATTTTTCGTGTTTTTTTTTTGTTTTTATTGAATTTTTTTAATATTTTAAGCAATTTTTTTTACTTTTTAGACATACTTAACATAAATATACTAAAAAGTAACGGTTATGAAGGACAAGAATAGGGTATGTATTAATAAAATGGAATGCACGTTAAGTATGGCTCTGATACCAAAAGGCAAAAGGCAGAAGCAGTGCATAAGCAGCGCATCTATGAAGGAGATGGATTATGAAATCAAAATGAAAGGAAATGGAATGCACGTTTACGCAATATAATTAAAAACTCATTAAAACATTTAAAACATTGAAAAAACTCATTAAAACATTTAATAACTTACAACAGAAAATAACTTACAATTACAATTGTAGCAACTGCAAGGATCTTAACTGGGTACAAAGGGAAAATCTGAAGGAGCACTCAGCACACTATGGTTTTTCTTACAACAATGAAGGGGAAGAAAATTTTCAAATATTGTGAAAAAAACCTTTTAAAAATTCACTAAATACTAAAAATACAAAAAAAAAAAAAAACGAGAATTCAGTATATTTTTTTTTATTTTTTTTATTTATTAATTTTTAAAAATATTTTTTCACAATTTTTTTACTTTTTAGATACATCTAAGTAAGGTGCATTTAAAAAAGTAAAAAAATATTTAAAATTTTAAAAATATTCACTAAAACAAAAAAAAACACGAAAACTAAAAAAGTCAGTTTTCAAAAAACTCAAACCAAACACACTAATGATTTCATGATAAAAAAATATATGATTTTATGATCCAAAATAATATTTAAAAAATGAGAAAAAAATGCCCAAAAAGAATATTTAAAAAATTGAAAAAAACAAGTTCAAAAATAAAATTTTAAACGAAAAGCCTAATTAATAAGCCGCTCGCACATTTGCAAATTCTATCCACATAAACCGCAATTCGTATTGTGATCAATTGCGAGTTTAATTTTTCTCAAACCGCAGATATATGAACCAATCCAAATCGTAAACTATACCATCAAAAATTGATCCGCAAACACCCCAACATGTGGATACAAATTATTTGAATGAGGCGAGACTGATTCGAAAAGTAGCATGTTGGTCATCCGCTTCTCTTTTTTTTTTGATTCAAGGTCATCCGCTTCAATATAGAGTCTAACTTCATTTCAAATGTAACCATTACATTCAAAATGAATATAAACCACACATTCAATTTTCTATGCATTTCTTTGATTGTATTTTTTTTTTCTTTGCACATAGCATTGTGGGAAATTGAAATTATTGAGAGTTATGTTACAGAGGCACACAAATCATTTGTGTAAATTTTATTATTAGATCACATGACAAAAGCAAAATAAATAATAAAATCACTTCCATATGTGAAGAACAAAAAAATGCGTTTGGATCCTCTAGAGTGGTAATGGTAGAGTGATCCTCTAGAGTGGTAATGGTGGAGCGCCACGTATCCTGTTTTTAAAGTGAATGATTGAGATTAGTCTTTATCAAAACAATGTCGCTTTGGCAGAACCATCTCCGACCAGTTGAGTTCCTCTTCTTCGATTGAAACTCAAACCCAATTTATCCAACTCAAACTATTCAAACCCAATTTATGCAAGTCAAACTAAATTCCTCCTTTTCAATCTCCAATTTATCGATCCCCATCCAACCATAACTCCCAAATCAAAAAAAACTTATTAATACAAAAATTAAAAGATCCAACACAACAATAATTTTCAACATTTCCTGCAAACCCATAGTAAAATAATCCCAAAAAAAAAAACAGAGCTAACCAGACCCAGAAAACACAAAGGTCATGTTTGATTCACAAGATTAATAGTGAAGTATTAATAATCCTATTAAATTAGTGTAGTATTCACTATCCAATTGGATTAATATTCATTGGATTAAGAATCCCACCCCTCCCCCATTACTAATAATCCTACAAATTTGTTGGATTAATTATCCATTGGATTAATAATCCTAAACCAAAATATTAAAACAAACATAGGATAATTGGACCCACGGATTAATAATACCAATCTCATGCCCTAATCCACCCAATCAAACATGCCCAAAGTGCACAAAAATCTCAAATTCTCATTTCAAAGATAATAAATTAATTTTCTAGTGGTGCTACCAAAATCTATCGATTTCCCAAGATCTGCCGAATGTGTTGTTCGTGAGCGACAACAGACTTGATCTCGACGGCATAGGGGGGATCGGTTGGAATAGAGAACGTAGTTGTCCGCAACAAGGTTGATCGCCTCCATGAAGTTTCCGGCGGAGAAGGCAGCGTTGCCTTTAGCCTTCTTCCTCAGCCCCTCCTCTGTTTCTTCTTGTCCCTCACTCTAAGTTTCTAAGTTACTGAACTGAAACAAACAAATAGTTTTTTTTTGTGATCCTCTAGAGTGGTAATGGTGGAGCGCCACGTGTCCCTTTTTTGAAGTGAATGGCTGAGATCGTTTTGGTGAAAAAAAAAAAACTGTTTGTTTGTTTCAGTTCAGTGACTCAGAGAGAGGGACAAGAAGAAACAGAGGAGGGGCTGAGGAAGAAGGCTAAAGGCAACGCTCTTCTCCGCTGGAAACTTATCGTCCTTTATGCTGTGTTTGGTTGGGAATTTGGGGAGGGATTAAGAAAGGAAAAGAGAAAATGTGTGTGAAATATGAACACGTTTTATTCATATTTCACTTACCTTTTTCATTTCTCTTTCCAAATCCGTCTCGAAATGCCCCAACCAAACACAACATTGGGTTCCAATTAGTGCCCACCATCCAGTTCCCATGCATAATAAGCAACAAAGGCATCAATTTGACTTTGAAGTCTTGGCGAAGAGAAGCTGGAATCTAACCGTTGTTACAGATAACATCAGGGGACTGATCTGCCTTTGAAATTCCAAAATACCGAATTCAATGTTCTTAATAATTGTAGCAGTTGTAATAGAAATTGAGCTTCTATACTTATTGGATTTCTCATACATAATGTTCATTTATTACTTGATGTGTTTCTTATAATTGTTTCACAATGTTTCTAAACTATTTTCCTGTGTCTTCCTCGTTTCTTTTTTTCTTCACAGCCAACCTGTTGTCCTTGTGGGGACGAGCGTAGGGTTCCGTCATCATGTGGAAACTTCTGTAAGTGCTATCATATTCATTGTTAGCATTCTCAATTATTCTTGCAGGATTCAGCATATAGTTTTGTGGTAAATGTTTCTAAATTTTATTTGAACTAATTGACAAGATGATGAAGGGGAAGGCCAACACTGCACACTGTTTTTGATTCAGCATATAGTTTTGTGGTCCATGTGATTGTCTGTTTTTGATTTTATGTTAAGTTGTTGGCAAAGCTGCACTTCTTGAAGTATCACAGAAGTTTTTCCAGTAGTGTCAAGTTTAGGATCTTTTTACTTGAATACTTTGTTCTCAACAAAATAAATCAAGATTATGATTATTTATGAAAATCAAATGGTGAGGAACTTAATGGATTATAACTCCGTCTCGAAATGCCCCAACCAAACACAACATTGGGTTCCAATTAGTGCCCACCATCCAGTTCCCATGCATAATAAGCAACAAAGGCATCAATTTGACTTTGAAGTCTTGGCGAAGAGAAGCTGGAATCTAACCGTTGTTACAGATAACATCAGGGGACTGATCTGCCGTTGAAATTCTAAAATACCGAATTCAATGTTCTTAATAATTGTAGCAGTTGTAATAGAAATTGAGGTTCTATACTTATTGGATTTCTCATACATAATGTTCATTTATTACTTGATGTGTTTCTTATAATTGCTTCACAATGTTTCTAAACTATTTTCCTGTGTTTTCCTCTTTTCTTTTTTTCTTCACAGCCAACCTGTTGTCCTTGTGGGGACGAGCGTAGGGTTTTCCGTCAATGTGGAAACTTCTGTAAGTGCTATCATATTCATTGTTAGCATTCTCAATTATTCTTGCAGGATTCAGCATATAGTTTTGTGGTAAATGTTTCTAAATTTTATTTGAACTAATTAACAAGATGATGAAGGGGAAGGCCAACACTGCACACTGTCTCCGATTTCCAGGTGATTGGTATGGCCTGGACTCTTTCTTTCAGTAATTTTGTTTTGATAGGTGGATCCATTAATCTATGAAATTTGTAATGATAAATTAAGATATGCAATGTGGTCAGGTGTATACATAAAAAAAGGTTGTCAATTTTTTAAAGCAATTAATGGACATCATTTTTTGTAGGTCCATGTGATTGTCTGTCTTTGATTTTATGTGAAGTTGTTGGGAAAGCTGCACTTCTTGAAGTATCACAGAAGTTTTTCCAATAGTGTCAAGTTTAGGATCTTTTCACTTGAATACTTTGTTCTCAACAAAATAAATCAAGATTATGATTATTTATGAAAATCAAATGGTGAGGAACTTAATGGATTATAACTGACTATTGAGGTTTATTTCATCTGCTATTTATCATTACTTACTCCATGTGGAGGCTGTAGCTTGTTAATACTAATACTATTCTATTTTGGGTTAGACACAATGAGAAACACATTGTGTTTAAATTTAGGTATATGCTTGTTGTTGACTATTAAGACTTATTTCATCTGATATTACTTAGTCCATGTGGAGGCTGTAGCTTGTTAATACTAATGCTATTCCATTTTTGGTTAGACACAATGAGAAACACATTATTGTGTTTGAATTTAGCTATATGCTTGTTGACTCAAGGTTTCCATTACTATTTAGTTTTTGTTCTCAATCTTCAAGTATCCTTTTTTGATGCCACATTTTTTATTTCTTATCCATTTAGGTTCCATGTTTTTGGTATTGGACAGCGCTCAGTGGGATTTACCATTCGGATTGAGGTGAAGACAACATCTAAAATATCGGTGTGTAGTTTTTGTGCATCCTTGTGCTATATCTGTAATCTGTCACTAACCTACGTGTTATCGTTCAAGTTGTTGCAGTCAGCTTTTATAATTTTTCCTTCACGCTACACAATTTTCGGAGAAGGTTTTTTTCCGATCTTCTGCTTGTCCATCCAATTTCTTGACACAAACAATAGTTCGTCCTACTTGAAGTCTGAATTACGAAAATTAAAGGCCTGCCTTAGACATTTTAAAAAAATTATTATTGTCTTGAATTGAGATCAGCATTTCTGGTGTGAATGCCCTCTCACCTAATGCTGAAACTCAAGTAGGTTTGATTATGTTCATTTCCAATTGGCTTTGTTCTTCTCAATATGGAAGGAAGATATGAAAGTTCATCACATTTCTGTGCTCTGTAGACCACTCCCCATATTCAATTTCTTGGTTATCGTTTTCTTATTTTAAAGTATGTGAATTACAGCACAGGTTAACCTTTACCTTGACTATGCTTAATGACCTGGCATGGCTTACATTCTGGATGATATCCTATTTATCTAAATCAATGATTATCTCATCAACATTTATCTTTATTTTCTTCCAAATAATGATTGGTCTGAGTATTTTTTTATATTTCATGTTTACTATATTCTTTCTAGTTAGATATTGAACTCAGCATATTTTTTAGAAGTTAATCAGGAAAATGCTTTTGGAGATTTTTGCTTACAGGACGTGATTGTGGGCCCTGGGAATAGAACAGTAACATCCAATGATAATTTCTTACGAGCAAATCTTATTGGAGATTATGTTGGATACACAAACGTTCCTACATTTGAGGATTACTACCTTGTTATTCCAAGGCAGGTATGCTAGCTTTGCTGATCTAATTTTGACTTGTATTCTTCGTTTTTTTTTTTTTTGGGCTACATAGGGAAATAGAACACAAAAAGTTAATAAGTCTAACAAAAGCAATTCTTGCTATATTTGCTAAAAGGAACTCATTCAATTCCTCGGAGGGTGCACCAATTGGGCAAAGCCTAAGTCTGCTTCACCCCAATGTTACCCAATTGAGCTGCACAGCCATTCCTTGCCTGTAGTAATGCCCATACGGGCCTTAATAAAAGTTGATTTTACAAAACACAAAAAACTGAAGACAGCTTATCTTACATTCAGTTGTCCATATTTCTGAATTTGCCACTGTTCGACTCCTGGGAAGGCCCCACGAGGAGCCGTTCCCCAGTCCGTCTCCCCGTTGGCATGCGGCGACATGCTCTCACCATGGGAGCCACTCAAGTTTGTCCACTGACAGCCAACGGGATATGTTCACTATCTCAATGTTTGTCCACTGTTAATGGAACTGATTCAGCATGCATTCTTTTCAGGTTCATCAGTTTTACAACCATACCCACGTCCAACATCCCTTGATCACAAAGACATTTACCAGTCCTAGAAACTGGGGGACCACATATTGAACTGGAATCACATTTGCTGAATGAAGTTTGAAAAAAAAAAGAAAAGGAATAAGTGTGGCTGGACAGCACGACTATTGTTTATGCCATAATACTTTTTATAAACTTGAATCATTATCACCAGAAAGATTTGTCTATGGTTCTAATTATGGCTATCATACTGTCAAGTAGCTAACTCAGTCAGTCAATATACCTAAATTAAGGCATATTTATAATTGTGTTGACAATATTGTGTATCACCTTTTCTTGTTTCTTGCTGGTTCTAGTCTTATTTTATAATAGTTTATCTACTTGTAGATGTTATATTTCTTGTATTGTGTGCTGATTTTCTGGTTTGTATTAGTGAGGATTGATATTTTTTTTTTCTTGTCAATCTTTATTATACTATTTTATGTTTTATATGGTTTCATGTTGCTGAGTGCATTCTTGTTTCTCCTGTTGAAGGGTGGCCCAGGTCAACCATAAAATCTGGGAAGGAACTTTTCTATGTGGATGCCGATTGAGAGAGTTAGATTTACTTTAGATGGTCTTGAATGTAACAAAATTGGTGTGGGTTATGACGCTTTCAATGGGCAGCCGGATTTCTGCTCATCCCCATTTTGGAGTTGCTTGCATAATCAGTTGTGGAACTTCTGGGAGGTTAGTACTTAAAACTGGAATTAATTACTGAGAATTCCTGCTATCATCCTAGCCATTCATGTTTAAAAGAATTTTGTTTTGTTTTGTTTTGAATATCTCTGCCAATTGCATGTCTTATTGACGTTTATTGCAGTGCTGATCAGCCATTTCCTACACAGCACAACTAATATGCCAATAGGGCACCTTATACCTCTGTGAAATATATCACCTTACCTATGTGAAATATATTTCTTCTTTTCCATTTGGAGGACTTTCACATAGATTTTGATCCTTTATGGGACATAGATTTTGATCCTTTATGGTGCAAAATATGCATGTTTCGTCATTTTTTAATGTACATAACACATCAAATGCAAACATTGTTAAACTAAGTGTTTCCCTGGTTAGATTTTTTTAATTTATGTTGATTATTTTTCGTCTGGTTCAACTAAATGCTTTATTAGCAATTTTTGTCTTCTACGATGGCATTCTTTTTTAAGAAATTGGAAAAGCCTTTAAGATGAATAATCTTGAGTAAATCATTTTTGTGGGCAGTGAATGTTTGGTCTTTAAATGTTAAGAATGCCATTTTGCAAGTCTCATATTGTGGCTTTGATTTGATAAGAATCTTCCTTTTGACAGGCTGATATGAACCGAATCAGTAGGAAACAGTCACCACTTTATGTTGTGCAAGAGAGGTTTGAAAGGATAAACCAGCATCCAGTTATGTTTTAGCAACTATGGGTGTCATATACTTAAGGATGTCTATTATTTGGATTTTTAATCATTTACTATTACTGTTGTCTGCAGAATTCAGGGAGTCATTCATTCTCCATAGGAATAACTGAAGTTCTTAATACAAACCTCTTGATAGAACTAAGTGCTGATGACATAGAATATGTCAACCAAAGGTTAGTAGTTAATTCCTTGAGCTTAATGCCTTCAGATAATGACATTAATTTTTGGATATTATTATTATAACCAAAAGCCATGCTTCTGACAGTTCATGTGTTTAAAAAATCTTAAAATTCAGGGTCAATTGATCTAGTTGAAATTATTGGACCCAAATGACACAAGGATCAAAATTATGAGTGTGTATATCTATGTAATAATGTATATTCATTAAAACCCTTTACTTTGTTATTATTCACTGGGTTCCAGCTCACTGTATTATTATTGTATGTAGGTGATCAGGCGCGTGACCAAGCTTAAAGGCATCTGTTTGGAATCTGTTTTTGTTAGCTAACCTATGTACCTCCCGTGAAGGTTCCGAATATGTCAAGTGGTTATGGCTACGCGATTTAAAGTTTAAGTTTTGTTTTCTTGTTTGGTTAAACAAGCCTTTGTGTATTTTGTAAATAGGGTTAAATCCCTTTTTGTCTAATCTGCATATATATGATGACGTAAGAACGATGTGTATATATGTATATAAAAGTTTAAAAACTTTCTGTCCCAAACAAGTCTGCACAGTTCAATGGACATTATATATTTATTATTTGTTTCCGCTAGCCTCTAATATTATGTTAATTTGTTTCAGAGGCCTTTGGTAATTCCAGGATTATTGGCCGGTTACGATGCTAAACTTATAGAGACAGGTTTGGGTCGTGACACGAACCATCCCCAGATTCTCATATTCTTGTGTAGGTTGTTGGGCTTAATCTATTCTGTCGGTGCTCTCTAGCTGAGTTCCCTTTTTTGGTTGTGTGGTCAGAAATCAACACCCACAATTACGTTTTGAAATGAAGAGCCTAGATTAACCTATATAATTCTGTATGAAAAATTTATATATCATTACTTTTCTTTAAAACACATTCATATATACATATATATATATATATAAATAAAAATAATAAAATAAAAATATTACAATTATCTAATCATATATATATATATTTTTTTAAAATACGCATACGTGCATATCAAATCGAAATTCAAGGTGGACTTTACAGCTCACATACCTTTAGTCCATGTTATGGACTAAAGCCCAATTCAATTCAATTCAATACGTATCAATTCTAGGGAACCCAAGGTTGCAAGGCCCATTTTGGCCCCCCAAAAAAAAGAGGGTAAATTACACTTACACTGTTTTGAGATTGGGTTTAATATATATCATTTCCTAATTTTGGGAAATTACATTAACCTTCTTATCATTGTAATTATTTAGACAGAATGAAAACATTAAACTTATGCACTCTCTTTTCTTACTTTGCTTTACTTCTTCTTTTTTTTTTTTTCCTTTCATTTGTTTTACCTTTTTTTTTCCCTTTGTAATTTCTTATGTGTTTTTGTACTAGGAGTTCTTGCTTTATATATAAGCATGAGGAGTTTGTGAAATGAGATTATTAATTATAGAGGTGAGAATGTAATTTCTAAAATATCAGGAAGTGGGATGTAATTGGATCAAATCTCAAGGGGTGTCAGTGTAATTTATCCAAAAAAAAATCACATATTTTTTAAATTTTTTTGATAAATTACACTTACACCCTCTGTGGCTTGGGTTCAATATTTATTATCTCCTGACGTTTGAGAAATTATACTAACCCTCCAGTCATTGTAATTTTTTAGACGAAATGAAAATATTAAACTCATGCACTCTGTTTTTATGTTTTGCTTTACTTCCACTGCTTTTTTTTCTTTGTTTTACTTTTTTTTTTCTAATATAATTTTTTCTATTTTTCTATTAGTAGTTGTTACCTTTTATATAAGTAGGGAGTTTGTGGAATGAGACTATTAACCACAAGAGTGGGAATGTAATTTCCAGAACGTCAGAAGGTGAGATGTAATTGGACTACACTTCACGAGGTGTCAGTGTAATTTACCCCAAATTTTTTTATCTTTAGTAATTTTTTTTCAAAATTATGTCGAAATATTTTATTTTTTTTGCTCTGTCTTGTCAAGATGAATCTAAAAAGTATATTTGTTTTTATTTTTTTTAATAAAAAAATCACTAAAGACGAAAAAAATACTTATTTTAACTTATTTTTGTCGAGTTGAATCTAAAAATCTACGGTAGCGCTTGGTAGAGTTTTATAAATATGATTTGAGAATAAAGTTGTATTTTGAATTTGTGAGTTTTGCAATTATGATTTGAGTGTAGAAAATTTATTTGGTTATGAGTTTTGGAGGGAATTTAAAATTTTTGAAATTAGAAAAGTTATTTGATTAAAAAATTTACAACATATAACCAAACACACATGCCAAACTTTTATTCAAAACTCATAAAAAATTTAAAAATTTCGAAAATATTTTTTATTTGCAATATAAAAATAATAAGTGTAAAAAAAAAAAAGAATATTGTTTTGATCAACCAGCCGAATGTCTGGGAGGACGACCAGGTTAGCCAAATTTTCTGATCTGGAAAGGAGTTTTTAAATGTAAGTGTGAAATTATAATTTAAAAGTTCAAAATAAACACCACACTTAAATCAGTAGGTGGAAATGTGTTTGGAATACATAACCAACACAACTTGAATTTTTTTAAAAAAATCATTAAAGAGGAAAATAGACGAAAAAAAAAAGTAGCCCCCAAAAATGCCATTGCAAAAAATCCAAAAACCCAACCGTTGGAAGCAGTTACATGCCCCGTCAAAACCGCAAATCTCTGATACATACATACATATATATATATATATATATTCCCCCAAACAGGTCCCACTCTTGACAGACAGTTCCACCATCAACAAATCACCCATTTGGTCACTCTTCAAACGAAATAAAACCTTTACCCTCTCTCATTCTCTTCACCTTCTCTCACCTTCTCTCTCATCATCTCATTCTCTATTCCCTCTCCAGCCCCCAAATTCTATAGTGACCCTGGTTTTGACCTATCCCTTATAGTGTTCCGGATTCAGGTTTGTATGGGTTGAATGGTGGTTCATGTCTTGTCTCCCTTGTCTTCCCCTTCATTGTTGGTTTTGGGTTATAGTTGTGTGTTTGGAAAAGGTGGGTTGCTTGTTTTTCCAAACTCTTGGTTGCCCAGAATTTTGGCTCTCCGCTCGAGCAGGCATTCTTGCACTCGAGCGGGTTTCTGGAAATTTGCTCTACGTTCGAGCGGTCATTTGGACGCTCGAGCGGGGACTGTGTCTTCAAAAATACTGGGAGAGCGTATTTCACACTCGAGCGCAGGGTTTCACGCTCGAGCGGGAGTCTGTGTCTGACGCTCGAGCGGGGCTTCCCACGCTTGAGCGGATAGCATATTATCAGCTCGCGAAAGTGACATTTCATATCACTTTTTGCAATCCTCTCTCTCTCCAAAAGTTTCCAAGATCCAGATCTAGAGCCTCTCTCTCTAGAAATCATCTTCTCTATTTGATTTCTCCAAATCCATTGGGATTTTGGCCATAGTTCCTTCATCAAAGTTGTGTAACTTCTTGAGAGTTTCGTTGTGTGCGGTGGAGATCGAGTTTCATCGTCGTTAATTTTGGGATTTCATCTCAAATTCTCTTCAAACTTGAGGTAGGGATTTTCTTAGAGTTATATATATGTTTTTGCAAGATTTAGATGATTTTGAAATCATCATTTGATTTGTTTTGAAAATGGATAGTTGATTCAAGAAGATGAGTAATTTTTGAAAGTGAGTTTACTTTCTTGTTTTCCTTAAAAATAGAAGTTGAGGGTTTTTGAACTATGTTGATTGTAGAAAGAGGATTTTGGTGAGATTTTTCTCAAATGTTTGAAGATGGATGATTTTGGTGAGAAAATCTAAAAAATTTGAGATTTTTAAAAGAAGTTGAAAATCCATGGTTGATATTGTTATATTTATTTTGAATGCCCCAAATAAATGATTTTTGGAAAATTTCATGTTTATATTGTATAAATGATAAATTTTGAGAAACATGAAAATTGTTGTTCATTTTGATAATTGTTATTTAAAATGTTGATTTGGTCTTGAAATAGCTAAATTGTTGAAAATGCTCGAAATATGGAGGATGTGTTATTCCTCGGATGAATTGAAATAAATGTGTATTTATTCATCTTGTGAAATGGTATTGAAATGAGAAATGGAAGTTTTGATCACAATGGAAATATTGTGTGGAAGAATGGAAAATGGATAAAATGTTGGATTGCATTAATTGATACATTAGCATATTGTAATAACCCTCACCACTGTTTACTGATAAGCCATTGATTACTGTTAAACTGAGGCTATGTTAATTGACTGACTGACTGAAAACTGAAGCCGAATTGATTGAGTATATTAGTTAAATTGCAATTCTATTTATTTGCCTGCCAAATTATCTGTTAATATCTTTGTGTTTAAACTGCTAATTGAAGGCCTTATCCACGGCCGAATCTGAAATTGATTGATGTTCTGTGTCAATTAGATTTTATGTGATTTTATGGTGTATTTAATTAAAAAAGGTGTTTTGGATGATTAAATTGGATCAATATTGATACATGGCATAAGTTGCATTATTTACCAAAAAACCATATTGGTGGGCCACTATCTAAGACATATTGAAGCTTGATTACACCTAAAAACAACATTTGCTCTGTCCATGTGAGAGACAAACCGACTGAGAGAGAGAGAGTTAGGAGATTGAATTGTTCTTGAGGGTTTTGCATGGAAACTTGAGGAAATTGTAGAAGACTTGCACCATTGAGCCTCCATACCTCTAATTCAAGACTTAAGGTAGAATAATTGCCTTCTTAATTGTGTATTTAAGTTCTATCTAGCATGGATCATGATAGTTTAAAGAGCTAAGTCAAAAATTGGAATAGATTGCATAAGTTGCATTATTTACCAAAAAGCCATATTGGTGGGCCACTATCTAAGACATATTGAAGCTTCATTACACCTAAACACAACATTTGCTCTGTCCATGTGAGAGACAAACCGACTGAGAGAGAGAGAGTTAGGAGATTGAATTGTTCTTGAGGGTTTTGCTTGGAAACTTGAGGAAATTGTAGAAGACTTGCACCATTGAGCCTCTATACCTCTAATTCAAGACTTAAGGTAGAATAATTGCCTTCTTAATTGTGTATTTAAGTTCTATCTAGCATGGATCATGATAGTTTAAAGAGTTAAGTCAAAAATTGGAATAGATTGTTGAATTAAGGCTTAATTGTTGCATGCATGTCTATATCTTTGCATTTTGATGTTGATTTCATGGCAATTGGTGCATGCATGTTCATATTATTGTTATAGACCATGATTTCATCTTGTTTTTGTAAGAGTTGGCTCACTAGAGCATGTATTTGAGGCTTGGAAGTTATTTAAAGTCATGCATGTCCCATGTTTATCTTGTTCATGATAATTGGTTTGAATTTGGATTTATTTGAACTACCTTTGGGCCTTGATTTTACAAATTGAGCTTTGAAATATGTTATACTATGGGTTTTGAGGTGTTTTCCAGAAAATGGACCCAAAAGGATCGAATTTGATACATTGAAACTTGATTTGAGCATGAGGTTCAAATCTGGGAATTCCAGATTTTGAACTCACGCTCAAGCGGGGTGACTGGCGCTCGAGCGTGAAATTCGTGCT